GATCACAGTGAAATATTCAGAATGTTTCTTAAGTTCTTAGTTATAAAGGTAATAACAACTCATTTTTTGAAAAAGTTCACTTTTCGTATTGTAATTGATGGAAGTTGCAGTTGTTCAAATTAACACCGCCCTTTTTCCCAAGCAGTTGCTATTAACAAACAACGTTTAAAGAATTATTTGAGTTTAAATGTTTAAATTTTATTTTGGACACCTTACATCTTACATCACGAGTTCACATTCATATGAACCAGTTTTTTTTATCTTGAAATTAGAAATATAACTCATGTTAAGTGGTGAAATTTTAAGAACATTTTAAGAACAACGTGATTAAATCGGCTTATCTATTATAGAACGGCCTTATCATATTAACAATGATTTTTCCATAATACATTTCAGCATTAGCACGGAATTATTTCGTATAAGGTCATTTTTTTAAACGTTAAAAAGATTAAAATCTTTAACTCAGAAACTCATTTTAATTATGCAAAATTTGAGATTATAAAACTGTCTTTGCTCACTTTTTGCCTTATGTTTTTTATGTTATCTTTTAAATTTCAATTCAACACAAAACCTGGGAAGTTGAGTTTGATAAATAAAAAATTATCCACCCGAATGTGTGAGATTTTTCTGTAAATGTGGAAAAGTTTCGGTGTCTTCATTTAACTTAGTATTACACAACTTTTTGGGACACATTTACTATGGCCCGTCATCCAATGTGAACCAGGATACTATAGACTATCAGTTTAAACAGTTCATCTAAGCTTGGGCTGTTTTACCTCGGCCCTTCTTATGTTATGTAGCTTCTATCAAACGGAGTCCTAAATAAACATAATTGCCCTATATTGAGGTAACAATCCCAGGGAAAAACATCAGCAACCTCTACATAGTCGCAAGGATTCATTGGTCCCTTTTTTTTGAACATGGAATTGCAAAATTTGAGTGGCTTAAACTAAGATACTTATTGAGAGCAGGATGGGGCGACTTCTACTGCGGATCTTTCTATGCAGGTCTTTAGAAGGATGTTTCCAGAAAAGATAATATCTAAAAATAGTGATGTAGATTATACTTCCAGAAGTCCGAGCTAAACTTTCATAATTTTTTTTTCTGGGGGTTATTTAAATCAAAGATTAGTTGGAGTCAGTTGGAGCAAGCAATTAGCGATAAAATTCGAGCAATTCCGCAAGAACTGTTTAAAAGAGACACCCTATGTTGTTAAATGAAGACAATGAAAGTTCGCAGTTCTTTTAGACAGCGTGAGACTTTTATTTTATACCTTGTAATATTTTACGTTCTGTGGAAAATTAAATCCGTCCCTGTGCATCAGAATTTGTAAATAAAGGAAGATCGCAACAAGATTGATATATGTATACGCGGGAATGAATTTCCATTTTACCAAAAACATTAGTCGACCGATTGCTTGTAGTCCTTTCGGGTCGGCACAATTTGCTCAGTGTACGCGGAACGGCTGACAGACTAATCCATCATTTCGGTTGTCCGGTTCTGCACCGAGCGAATACGTCACACGCTTCTGGAGTTCATATATTCGCCGTTTTTGTCTCTAAATGAAAAGCGGTCGACCCTATTTGAAAAAGTCGATCATAAAGGGAAATCGTCGACGGATTTTCTCCTTTTTTTTTCGTGTTTTCCAAATAATTCGACTTTGATTTATTTAACGTAAGTTTAAAAAACTTAATGATGTATTTATTTCATAAATCACATCCTCGAAAACTTTGGTAAAAATACTTCCCGTGTGTGTGATAGAGTGGACTAATGGCAACATGGTAACAAAATATAACATGGAATAGCAATTTTACAACATAATATTGAGAGTATACAATATACATAAAACATAAAGCAAAATACAGAAAATATAAAGCGCTCTGTGGGCATCTGGACATACATTAAAGCTGAACGAAGATTATCACAGAAACTTCTCACCGAAAGTGGGAAGTCGCTTTATTAAAAAATCTTTGACAAAGTTTTGGACCTGTTTAACGGAAGTTGTTTTGTCTCGGGCTTAAGTTTGTTAAAAAAATGGATGCAAGTCTGAGGTTGTCCCTGCGTTTCGTAGGGGTGAACTTTATTCACATGTAAAAAAAAAATCTGTTTGATCATCGTAAGTGTAAGTTAGACATTGAACTATATAAGCGCTTGGCAGTGTTAAAGTTTTAAGCTCCAAAATTTAGATCTAAGATCCTCTCTATATTTGAAGTTTGTGGTTATTCTAAGTACCCTACGTTGTAGGCCAAAGACTCATTGAGAGTGTGGCTCCAGCTTATCAGTAAGTAAGAGTCAATGCTGTCAATAATATGTTACAATCTACAGTGACCTTTAGGCTACCTATTAGAAAAATGTTTTTTGAAATTTTTTTAGCCACTTGGTCAATTTAGTTTCAGGTCTATATGAATTCCCAAGAGTTTTGCACTTTCTTCGTTATTTACTTCGTTGATGAACCTTTGAGAGATGATTAAAGAGACTTGTTTTCCCTTCGTTGAGGTATAAGCTGTTTTTTGGAAACCAGTCCTTAGCTCTTGTTACTTTCGAAAATCGATTAAATCAAATTTTCGAAAGTATCGACGCTCGTACAAAAATTTTACATCTCGGTTACGGTAGATTCTATGGAATCGCCGTTGGTACAGAATTGATCACCGTCAAAAAAAATTTTTTTTGTCTGTTTGTCCGTTCTCCGTTCTCGTCTTTTGGTTTTTCCTGAGTAACTTTTGAACCGTTGCAGCTACAAAATTGAAATTTGCCTCCTTTTTAACCCTCCACGAGGCACATAAGCTTGTAAGAAATGGCCCTGATCCGACTCCGGTATCCATCTTTTTTTTGCGATTTTCGACTGTTTTTTGGACCTTGCTATGAAGCACGATAAGTGTCCGAAATTTGAAGCAATCGACTTCATATTTTTCACATTTGCCCCGTGACGGAACCTATTGAAAATGGTGGGGCTGGGGGGTTGGGAAGTATTCTAAAAAAATAAAAAATCGCGCGTGTAAGGGTCTACAAAAAACATCATTTTTCAAAATCTGTTTACGAGACCTAAAAAATTCTTGAACCGGAAGAAGCAGAAGATACGGCTCTATAAACCTTTATTCGTGACAATTTTTCAAAAATATACAGGATGCGCCGCAAATTCAAAAAAAACTGAAAAATGGGTCCCTCTGTTATTGAAACTTGGTTATAACTGAAACACTGTGATTCAGATCTCACTTTCTTTTATATTGCTATATTGCCTGCATAGATAGCAAAAACTTTTGTATTTAAGGTTTTCCCCTATTGTACAGGGTGTTCCCGATATTCCGTGCTAAATGAGAAATGTGTTATGTGTCCTAAATTTGCAGATATCAAATTCAAATTTAGCAGAGAAGTAAAAGTCCGTGTCCACATTTAAACTGTAGAAATTGGGGCAATCAAATATTACCAAGTATTTTTTAGATATATTTGAATTTTTTTTTTTTTTGGTAATTTTAGCTTCCAGAAAAATATGTTTTCTTCCATATTCGTTCATCCAGTTGGCAAAATTCTTTAACCGGCAGACGCACAAGATCCAGTGCAATAACATTTATTTCAGGCATTTTTTCGATTATATACAGGGTTTTCAAATTATAGACAAAAATCTAAAAGACCTAGAAAATTGTTTTTTTACAGAGTAAATTATTAGCCGCAACTCAAAAATCGTAAAAAATATGGCTAATTGGTTCAAACGGTGTCATAGGCCGCAACAAGAACTACAATTTTTGTATTTGCGGTTTTCATCACATACGCTGCTCGGGATATTTGAAAAAAATCCATATGTAAATCACTATTTCGGGGGCTGTCAAGACGCCATGACGTCATTGATTATTACGGCACACTGCATGATTTCAGAAAAAACTTATTTTCTCGAAAACCATTTACTATTTTCAAAAAATTCTAGAACCAGGACTAGTGGAAAATCGAGGGCTATAACCTATACTTCATACAATGATTGTATCATATACAGGGTGTGCCATTTATGGGCCAAAATTAAAAAACATACTAAAAATTTCCGTTTTAGTGATATTTATCTATTATTTGTGGAAATCTTAATATTTACCGATGTTTGCTGTAACTTTGAAGTTCGACGAGATGCGAAGGATGTTTTATACACGGCGCATGCACAATTAAATTACATCGATTTTGCGAAAATTCCATAGTGGTCCGCAGGAGCACGATATAAAAACAATGCGTTCCTTTACCACCAGAATAAAAAGCTGCTTCCCGCTACGCGCTACGAACTTGCCCCGCCCAGTGACGATTTTTCGATAGCAATCTTATTAATTCAGTGTTAGCTTCAACAAGTGCTTCAGTAAGATTGTTTTTATTTATTAACAAAGTATTTATTTATTAACAAAAGGGCTTCAGCAAGGTCGTTGATATATATGAGAAAGAGGGTAGGTTCCCATTACTGAGCCCTGCACAACCCCATTTCTCACTGCCAATGTACTCGAGGTGTTATTGTTATAAACAAGGTATTGTATTGTGTTTTTTTTTTTTTCAAGTTAGATATATATTAAATTTTCCCAATACCTTTAATAATTATCAACAGAATTTTTTACCCCGACCAGTAAGGACAACGCGTTGTCCTCGAATTTACGAAATGCATTATCCGATTCTTAAGTAATCGTTCTTACCACACTCTCAGCTTTGATTTATAGAAGTAACGACCTTGCGCCTAGCTATTAAATTACATTACCATGTCGGTTTATCCCGTCAGATGCGCAGAAAATTAGAAACATGATAGTAAAGCGATAAACGATTTCACTTTCCATCGGAAGTAGTTTACGGAAGTATGACGGTTACGTAAAGTGATCTTAAATCACATGGCTTATATAAGAATACGAATAAAAGGCGCCAATGGTCGGCCGCTTGTTTTCGCTTTCACCCGAAGTGAGGCAGTGGTGGCGTGGAGAGGGGCAACGGTTAGGATCGGCAAGGTAAACGAGAAATGGTTTAAAACAGTTTAATAATAATTTTAGTCGTCAACAATGTCCGCCAAAACGAATATCGACGAAAAAACGTGGCGATAATGGCGTCGACGGGCAAAATGATCATCCGAATTGTGTTTATGATTTGCGTGGTTCTTATGTTAGTCTCGGATTATTCCGGGTTGGTAAATAAGCTTATCGGGGGTAACAAAATAGAAGATTCTAGACAGACTCCACCGAGACCCACCAATCCGGGCTATGGTGACTCTAAAGCGGATATAGATATAGACGCCGATATTGAAGAAGACTCCGTCAGGCATTTAAGTAAGTGTATCACAATATTAGGGCTGCCATATTGGCGCGTTCGTCATGGTAACTGTTTTTGCGGAAATACTCGGCCTTGGAAAATGCTTAGGTATATTAAAATCAGAAGCTCAAACAAATTTTTGCATCTTTAAAAACAGCTGGACGGCAATAACTCAAGTTTATTTACAAAACTTTCTCAAAAAGTAAACGTAAATGGGTATGTTGTGCGAAGACCGTCAAAATCGATTTCACATACGTATTTTGAAACGTCAAAGATAAGTGAAATTCGATTTCAAGCTGTTCACCGGTACCTCCTTTGTTGTTATCCTCCATCGAATTAATGAGATGACGCGCTTTGAGTGTAGGTATTAAAAAAAGTAACATTGTCAAGGTCGCGACTTGGGCCTCACGCAAAAATTGAAATTTAAATACAATAGCCAACGTAAACATCAAGTTGATTGTTTGAATAGCGCACCTATAGTCTTCTTCCGTATTAAAATGACGGCGACAGGCAATATAAATAGGAACAGGCCCTTATGAAGGAGAGAGCAGTCTTTTGAGCGCGTAAAATAATTAAATTAATTTGGTAACCTCGAGTTACTTCTCCTTCTCACTCACTCTCTTTCTGTCTGTCTTTATATCTATCGGTGGGAGCAACATTTTTGGATTTATTTACCATTAAGTTATTTTATTTGTTATATTAAATCAACTTCTAGGTCAATTCGAAAATTTTATAATTGTATATTTCGTGGATAAATTGTATTTATCTACGTAATTACTTGACATATTAAATTCAATAGTTAAAAACCTTCAGTAAAATTTTATTGGTTTTCACTGTAGAATATTTCTTATGAGAATCTTAAAAGGCATTTTCCCTGGATCGGGTAGAAATAATTCCCATATCGTAAGCATAACCATTCCGGGATTTATTGTTTTTTAGCCGTTCCCGCGTCAAAATCTCAAATATTAAAAACTATAAAAAACGCTTGTCTGCCAAAACTGATCTGCGAATTGACTGCCACCTCGCAGAAAGAAAAACTAACGGAAACCGAGAAATCTCTACTCGCTCTTTTGAGGTAAGCATATATTTCTTAATTTAAAAGTTCAGTTGCCTTTAAGTCGCTATCGAAACCGAAAGTAATGTAGTCGGTTTCACGTAATACCAAACGCTTTCCCTTGCCATTGTACCAAGGCGGTTGTAAAATGGTGCAATGAAATAATCGATAATAATATTAACGTGTTTTATTGGTATCAATAGTCAATATAAAACACAATAAATTATAATGACTATGAGGTAACCTATGTTGACTAGACACGATTCCTTCTCCAAGTCTCACAACTTTCGAGGTGTTTTTATAATACTTTATGTGTAAAACTTATGCATTGCTCGAAATACATAAAAAATCTATTCTAACGGATACTCTCATATCATCGCAGTCCCTTGAGTAACACATCATACAGATTGCTTGTCTCAGTGCCGAATTGTTGTGCAAGTTAATTTTGGTTCAAAAACAAAATAAGTATGACTTATTCGTAACAGTAAGCTAAACTGTATTAAAATGACCTTTCAGTTAACAGTGAAATTGCTTTCAAATAGTTTACATATTCAAACGAATGAAGGATTTGTGCTTCAAAAATCGACAACAAAAGGCTTTTGTTGACTACTGAATTTTGCTCGGCGTTTTGATGTAACAAAATCCGTATTTCATTTAAATTTGTTTTTCGAATAAACGAAGGAAATTCGAACCGGTTTTACGATCATAATGCATTTACTACCCCGGGCACTGTATAATGACTGGAAAAAAATTGCACGCTTTATACTGTACATGCCAAGCTCTAATTCGTTAATAACAAAAGTCCATTGTTGTCGGTTAGTTGAAAAAGATTTTTTTGTGAAATAAGAGTGCCTTGTTTTAGGGACACGACAATTAGCACGACAGCGGAGTTGACGTCTAGGTATCATTTCGCCGCCCATATGGGTCAACTTATAGCCGGTGTCGACGGAAACGGTTGCCATAATTTCTATCCGACGTGTCCATTTCCCGGTCTTCAAGTTCTGCAGATGATGAAAAAGATTAGGATGCGTTAAAAGAAAAACAGCCATTGTTACGGGGAACCAGGTCATTATACGCTACATACGAAAACAAATGCCAAAGAGTATAAACGAGAACATGATGATGCGGTAACGCACGATAGGAAAACGGATATGCCGGAAGGAATAATTTGTGATATTAATTCGTGGATGCGAATTACGTCGCAGAAATTTGTAAAATAAAGGAATGCGAACATTTGAACTGTTGATTATTTTCTACTAAAATGGTGTTCTGTCACAGTTTATGGGAAATAATTTTTCCTCAGAACTCACTCCTCCGAAACGCACAGTTCTGTGATTAATAACGAGTAAGAACCCCTGTACATGTAGCTAGTTTTCTATTGGTTAGTTGTAATCAATTAAGTTCCATCGCTATAGAATGCATATGCTGCAGCCTAGTTTAACATTCTGTTCAAGCCTTTACTGTAATATTACGAGCATAGGTTCGGCAGAAGATGACTGAGATAAGTTCCAGAAGTTCCAATTAGAGCCCTTGGCTCTGCAATTATACCTAATCTACTGAAACGAATAAACGATATGATCTCCAACCGAAACAAAGAGGAGTTTTCGCTAGTTTTGAATCATTTAAATTCTATCTTCGCAGAATGCACAACTTAGTTGGAGAGTAGGTTTTCTTGGAATACGGACGAAACATCTAACATACTGTATATTGAATTGTGTTATGTAGCTCCTTTATTATAGTATCCGTTAATGTTAGTTAAGTTTTAATTTAATTTAATTTTAGGCTATAATTATAAGCGTAATTTTTCTTAAAGCTTTAGTACGAAATATTTTGCGGCCAACTAAAACACTTTATAACTAAAAACTTATATATTCACCATTTTATTATGATCTTAAGTCGAAACGAACGTTGATACATTGTTTTTATTGTTAATTTAAAATATATAGGTGAAGTAATCGTCAAGAGTATACAACGAAATGAGCAAATAAAAATTTTACAACAAAGATAAAAATACTAATTTTTCAAATGAAATACTTCGGAAATGTATTTCGCGAGCTGCATTTACGTCCCGGCTTCTTTGTTTTTATGCAAAGAAGGCATAAAGTTTCTCGCGCAATATTTAAATTTATTTTCCCGAGAAGAATTACAACGTCTTCTTCATTTTATATCGGTATATTTTAGGTTAATTTTCAAAGAAAGTGCACGAAAACTACTTCATTAACATATATAAACTCGCGGCAGGAGTTTTACGAGAATTTTAACCGTCAAAAGCAAAAAGTAAAATAAAATAATTTTGCTTTTATCTATTTTATCCCTGTTAGAACGTGGAACTCATCACTAAGCACTGGCCTTTGGTGCTTTTATATCGCAACCACCCGTAAATATATTTAATTTAAATTCTACTAATTAAACAATTACTAAGACATAAGTTTATACAGAGCAGATATAGGAAACGTTACTTTCTTTTTAATCTTTTCCGGAATAATTGTGGTATTTATGACGCAAGCTGAGATGGATGTTATATACCGATCGTCAGCCTCACGAAAAAACATGACCAAGAGCCTTTGCCGCAATTTTTTTCTAATTATTTTTCAAGTAATTATTGTTATAAAGCTAAATGACATAGCATTAATAACGATTTTACGATAATTATCTTCGTGACATACGCTGATTACTGCTGTAAGAAGCGGCAATAAGAAGAACGTAAAAATAACACAGCTAATAATCTTAATTAAAAATAAATTTGCGGAATTCATTAAATGTATCGATTTTTAAACACGGACGACGGTAATAATTTTCGCATAGTTGTCGAGTTCGTCGGTTATTACTTTGTAATCTTCAGAAGCAATGCAACTAAGCAGTGCAACGGAGTTTTTAAACCACTAGCTTAAAGTTTAATAAAATTTCCTTTATGCCGTTTATGGTGCTATGCCCCTTCCACCAATTTAGTACATTCTTTATTTTCGTATTCATGCGAAGTAAAATAGCAATAGAAAACAAAAAAATATAATAATATAACTCTGCAACTAGCGTCCTTCAAAAATAATGTATACGGACTATAATAACCTTAAAAAATATGTAAATCGTTTTAAATTTATTCAAATTTGTCTACAGAAATTAATTATTTGGGCCAGCTTGACAAAAATGACCGTCAAAATACAATTTTTATTAAAATTTGAACATCTTTCAGTATTTTTTGAACTGCTAAGATATTATTGGAGGTAACTGACAAAGATATGTGTTATCATGAAAATTAAAAAAATATATTATTCGGTATTGAATTACCGTTTCGGTTTGCCACACAATAGACAGTAGTCTAGTCTATCTTTTAGACGATATTCAATTGTCTCTTTTCCAATATCAACCACCAAAGTAAAGTAATTTAAGTAATATTCAAAATGTTTCTGATACCGAACTATTTATTTTTCGAGATGTTTGTATTTTCTATACTGGGTATCGGTATCTTATTAATTTCTATGATTTTTTTTATATTGAAATCTCTTCATTAAATTTGTCTTATAATTCAATATTATCTAGGTTGAGAGTTTTATTTGTGTAGTGTTATATGCTTAGACTTTTACTTTATATTTAAAATTAGCTACCAGCAGAAAACTAGTTCAGGTTGCCACCAAAATTTGACTACGTTTCCCTACATGCTCTGTTGATCCCGAAGAGAATGTCAAAAAAGAATAGACAATGGAATATCCATTATAAACCATTTTTAAAAATGCACGCTGCTGCTTTTCGCTAAAAACTGACAAAATTGCTTCATTGAAAATATTTTAGACGGGCTTCGCTTTAGAAATTCTTTTAAGTTTTCCCAATTTGAAGAATTACCAGGAGAAAAATATTTATCTAGCGCAACTCAGATAAATCATTTAAATTTTTCGATATATGTCGTTATTAAACATAAAACGAATTTTACAGCTAGACTCATTTTTATTTTTCTCTAAAGTCAATAAAGAACTCCTATGTGTATATATCAAAATTCTTTTTCTAAATCAGTATCTAGCTGACATTCCTATTTGGTTTTGAACAGTCTCAAATCGGTTCGAACGGTATTTTATTTTAAGAATTCGGTCGTCTATTTCAAAAAATGTGTGATACTAAGGTCATTACCATCTAAACCCGATAAATATTTTTGAAAATAGCTTAACTGCTCTTCATGACATCTATTTAGTTCTTCGCTTTGAGAACGTATATTAAATTAATTTTAAACACTAGCTAATAAGAAATAGAAATAGAAATAAAAATTTCTTATGCCCACAGACTTTTTGTATAACTGATGTCATGATTTCCCAACCAAAATTTATCTGTACAGCATCCAACCATGGGCATAGATATTTGTTATGTAAAGCTTTTCAAAATCGAGTCAAACATCCGGCTCGAAGGACCATGTTTGCATTTAGTTTAACAATTTCAGTTTAGATTTGGAATTCAAAGTTTTTGATATGTGAATTAAACATTAACAGTTACTTTTTAATTATAATGGAACGCTAAGTTTTGTTTTTTAATAACCAATACATATTCAACAATTCGGTGAACGCAGAGATAATGTTGTTATTTTTTCTTGGGGGCATATAGCATACGAATTAATATTAAAATTATATCTAATTTTATTTGACTACCGTCTGCTGCAGCAATTAATTAACGTTTAAAGATGGACGGCTACCGCTTTTACTTCGCGTTTTTCTTTCTCGTAAACAATGATGTTGCGAAAAAGAAAAAAAACTGCAACAATATTTTACGCAAATTGTTATCGAAATACGTGAACTCTATCATGTACATCGGTAACGGGCTCGTCCTCATTGACTAAATAATTGTTAAAGACGTTACTTAACTATTATTTAATCGTAAATTATTCGGAATATTAAACAGAACGCCCTCCACGAAATAACGTCCGTCGTGAGGAGTGGTGGTCACTTTCACTCTTATTACTACATAGGCCGTTCTTATACTCGACGTTCTTAAAATACTTCTTGTTGATATTTTCCGGTAAACTACATCAGACTGTTAAAAAGAAAACGGTAAAGGAAGGAAATAATATAAAAAAAATGAAAGTGCGAGGAATAGTTGCGGTTTTGTACGGCTTCTTGTACCCGTTAATTTTGTTTATGGATAAGCCTGTATCTGTTGCCGCACAAGAACCTGCGTTTGAACTACCAGTGGAATTAGTTGGTTTCCCTGTGATAATAGTGGCTGTGAGATTGTCGAATTTTGTAAAAAAATTAGCCTATTCTTTAAATCCACGTAAGTATGGAATTTTATTTTATTTTTTTCATTTAGGTATTGTTTAAGTTATACGAAGCTTTTGCGCAAGTTTTCCTAGACTGTATTGTCGTAGCGAAGGTCATCTACTTTCAGTTATGGCTTTAATGTTACAATGGCGGTTTTTACGTTATCTCATATTTGATTTTGTTAGCGAGTCGACTATTTAACATTATTTCTTATATATATATATATATATATATATATATATATATATATATATATATATATATATATATATATATATATATATATATATATATATATATATATATATATATATATATATATATATATATATATATTATTTCTTATATATAAATAAAATAATTTCAACATCTCTGAAATAATGAATTTTTTAAAGTTTTATCGGATAGTTAATAAATAATGTACCAAGCATTAATTAATTTTAACTTTACTTAAATCATAAAACAGCGGACCAATGCGTATCGAATGCGTCGGTAATTACAAGTCTCAGGATAACGTTGATTACTGCCGAATCGACTTAATTTGTCTGACATTTATTTAGGCAATTTTCCGATAAAAAGCGTGTGGCATTAACTTTTCTAATAAATATCAAAATGTTAAGGCAATCTGGCTAATAACGGATTGGGTAATGCTTAAATTAATGTGTCGTAAATAGTTTGATTCAAAATTGAATAAAAAAAAACTCGTTTTTAATTTAAATTGCATCGTGGACAGAATTTGAGTAATTTCCAATATGTAGTTTCAAAATTGAAAACCTCTGTCTTCAATCGCCATTATATAAGAATAAACGACTAAGAATTTTTTAGGGTTAGTAAAAAGGATCCACCGGTTGATAACATATCATTGGAAAGCGGGTTTATAACGCAATTCAGAGAAACATCAAAATTACCTCTCTTTTATTCTTTATTCTTCACAATGTAAGAACAATCACAAAGTTATAATATAACATTCGAAATAATAATTTTTATTTTATCCACCATGACTTAAACGGATAAATAATAATAAAACAGAGGAAAAGGAGGTAAATAAAACTTGTGGAGTTAATAGTCACGATATCACTTATGTCAAAGATCATTATCTGAAAGAAGCTCTAAAGCTAAAATCTTTACAACATAATAAGTGTCACAAAGATATAGTACAAAATTCGGAATAATAATTGTTATTTTATCTACCATGGCTTAAACATATAAATAATAATAAAATAGAGAAAAAGAGGTGGATAAAATTTTTGAAGTTAGTAATCACCATTTGGGTTATGTCAAAAATCATTATTTGATAAAAAGCTCTGAAGCTATAAACTTTACAACATAATAAGTATCACAACATAACATAACGTAACATTCTGAATAATAATTTTTATTTTATCTACCATGGCTTAAAGATACAAATAACAATAAAATAGGCGTAAAGGAGGTGGAAAAACATTGTGAAGTTAGTAATCACTATTTTACTTATGTCAAAAATATATTATCTGAAAGAAGTTCTTTACAAAGTAATAAGTATCGCAAAGGTATAGTATAACATTCTGAATAGTCATTTTTATTTTATCTACCACGGCTTCAACGTATAAATAATAATAAAATAGAGGATAAAGGAGGTGCAAAAAAAAAAGTGGAGTTAGTAATCACCATCTTACTTGTGTCAAAAACATATTATCTTAATCAAGCTCTGAAGGTCAAGTTTAGGTTAAAGTCTGAATAAATATCGTGCAGATAAAAGTCAGAGTCATACAAATAGATGAAAACTGTTTCCATTATTAATTCTTATTTACAAAGCGAATTGATTTACTACGCATCGTTTGTAATTTCATTAATGTCGTTTAAAATTTTATTCGCTAACAATTTTCAAATACATCATATCGAGGAGAGTAAGGGATAATCTACAATTATGTATTTTAAAAGTGATGTAAATATAGACACTTCACTCTGTGTTATTCTAGAGACATATGTCAGCAAGAGGACACGCCGTGGCATCACCAACGACGAAATGATAAACATGATAGAAGCTGAAAAACGCTTAGTTACCGAACTTGGTGAAAACGTCTGTATTTATCCGAAAGTTTGTCTTCATCACGCCGAAAAGGCAAGGAAAACAAACGGCAGACACGAAATGATTATCGACTGGGACGATGTGTTCAAGTAAGTTTTCTTTCAACGCTTCCTTGAAATAATTCTCATTTTGATAACATACGCCGACGAAAGGTACTCTACGCCCCTGATTGAAACTAAACCCGGTACCTTATACGCTATATTATTTTAAGATTTTTGTTTCCGTGCAGTAAAAATTACGTACGTTTCGGCCAAAATCAAGAGGCCATATTTTGAGATATACTGTACATAAAGGAACTTGGTATAAACATTAATTTATTTTAATAAATATATTATAATTTAATAATATAGTTGTTGGATTTGTATATATTTCCAAAAATTTACATATTTCGACAAAACCTAATGTAATTTTTGTTCATCGTCTGACTTGGTCTTCCTCCTTTATCTCACTTTTATCTATTTGTTTTCTAATTAAAATTTTATATAAGGCAAATACATTTTTAAAATAAGTTTCTTTATGTTCGAAATTTCTCTGAAGATGGCCCACTGTTTCCGCCGAAACGTAAGTAATGTTGACTGGATAAACAAATCCAAAAAATTTTTATTTTCTTTGCTCTATTTATATTATATATTTATATTATATATTTTCTTGTCTTTTACCCTGTTACATTTCACACGTTTATTGCCTCAACAAGGTTGATTTTTTTTATTAAAAACGCAAGATAAGCAACGGCCGCGTTGTTATTCTAATTTGTCGGCACGAATTATCAAATTAAATGTCACTTAAGTTCAAATTAACAATTGTTTGCATATCTTGCCCCAGGTTTGCTTTAAAAAGACCGACCTGCATAATACCGTATGGTGCGGGGGGGTTTGAACATTTTTTTCTTTTCAGCAATTACAAGGCGTCGCAGGAAAAACAAAAGGAATTCTATTTTTTGAGCGTCTTTTTGGGTGATTTTATCGCATCTCCTAGATTCTGCAATCAGCTTATTAAAAGAGGACGAGCATGCAAAGAGTAATTAGTTCATAGGCGGAGTAACTAATTTTGTTGTGTCATATTATTTCCGAAATCTTAACGTATCAATTTGTACATACATAAATTTTGTAAGAAAAAGCCTCGATTTTATTCCTTATAATTTATTGTTGTTTATATAGTTTTATTAAATAAATATAATTAGCTTGACATGTAGTAGAAAACGTTACGAACTATTTGGTGAAATACAGTATTAGGTACATTGTTGGGTCTTATCGCCATTGATATAATTACAATCTGCCACGCCTTAGCATAGTTATGATAATGCTGTTATTCATAGTTTTAATTTCAAATATCCCGAAAACTACCCTGTTATTATAGGTGTTATCACTTTGGATCATTACACTGTGGAAATAAGATATTTATCACATCCCATGTGTATTGTGGGGGCACAAAAATACGGTACATTCAATTAAAGTAAATGTATAATAAATATTTTTGAAAACAAAAGCAATATTCTCAATCAGCAATAAGCATTATTTGTGCACCTTTATTTTGAATTTTTGATTTAATTTGGAAAGCTAAAATAAGGTGTATCTCTGGTATAGTGATGGTGAAAATCCAATTTGAGTTCTCCGGTTCCGGTACGATCCGGAAATATATGGGGATCGGGAACGTGATTGGGCAATGGTTTTTGTATATCCAAATGGTTCTCATGGTTTTCGAACACTACGGTATCGAAATTCAATTTTTTAGATTTTCTGTAAGGCACTTTGTCATCATTCGGAAAGTGTAATTTTTCGACGTCTCTGTTTATTTTTGGTTCATCAAAATATGGAAACACTAATTGGGATAATAAGCGTGAATTATATTCTGGGAATTTGACTTCAGATTGAATATTATTGGATAAATCATCGCTGTTATCGTAGTATTTAAATTCATTAAACGGTTGATTTAAAATGCGCTTCTCAGCAAATTGCTTTTGATAATGAGCGTCATTGTTCTGTTGGCCGAGTCCTTGGAAAAATCTGAAAAATCCACCGTTGTGGTTGTTTAAGTATTGTATAAGTTTTTCCGGATCTGACGGACATCTCGAGTAAAATGCGGAACATGATCCCGTGTTGCGCTTAGCAGCGAATCCCAAGACAGCTGCCTTTCCGAAGTGTAACACTGGAGAAGAATGGGCGCTATTCAAACTGGAGATGAATCTAAAAATAAAATATTTTTAAAGAAAGATCGGCTACAAAAATCTGTTCTATACCGAATATATATTATGAGATATATTGTGACCAAAATACCAAAAAGTTTTACTTTTGGTTGATATGTTTAATATTCAAAATTGTCCTCAACAAACCTTGGAAAATACGACCCAGGTATAATATTTTTCGATCTTCCAGTGTCTGTTTTATTAATTTTTGCGATATCTATGCTTTAATTTATTTTTACTAAGCTATTTTTAATGATAAAATGCTTAATATTTAATTAAATGAAAATAATAAAATTTAAATTTGAAATACTTCATTATCCATTTTAACTTACGCCAGTAGAGTGTCACCATTTATATTGAGTGGTAAGTTTAATCCTTGTCGTTGTCTACTTGTCATCGTACCGGAGGCTAATTCACAAACTAATTTTGGGACGCACTGTAGATCGTCATTCTGTGCTATCGAAAACAATGCGTCCATGATAGTTTGTTGAGTTGGCCTTATGGGTTGCTTGTGTGGTGCCGGTGGATATCTATATGGTCTGTAGGGTGGTATCACTTCATTCGTTAGATAATCCGGATAATACGGTACGTATTTTTCGGGATAACCATACCCGTATTTGTATGGTTTGTAACGTTGTGGTTGATTTTGTTGGTAAGGGAAGTTGGGATAATTTTGACGACTTTGAAGTGCGACGTTAGACAAATTCCTGTAAACAATACACCATACAACATATTGATATATAGAATATATAAGCACTACGTAGTCTTCGCGCCGTTTTTATTGTTTGTACAATTGAAATAAATTGCAAAGTGAAATAAAAGCTTTATGTTTCTATGTCTTGAATCCTTGCTTCAGTTAGTTGTGCATTAAAAAAAATGAAGTTATTATAAATAATAGCAAAACATTTTTTATGTTTCCTTAAATTAATTCGTATAAATCCAAAAATATTTTTTTATTTACAGAGTCACGAAAATATATTAAAAAACTTCACACAAAAAACGTTAGAGTTTTGCTTTCATTAAAAAAATGTTAATTCATTCTACTTACCATAAAACTTCTGCGTAATTATTTGTCAAATTGGTTGTAATTGATGCGGAACCTTTGAAAAATACTAAAGGAATCACCAAAGGCAAATATTTTCGGAAAGTCATCTCGCGAAGAATTTGTTTTAACGACTGCGCGGCTGTTGTTTTGTCAGTGTTTGCAAAATTTCACTGATCGAAGAAAGTTCGCGTGGGTGCTTGTCTGGTTTGCCTACGTTAAATTACTAATCCCAAAGTAACGCGTTACGCTTTCATTTGAAGGAAAAATATGCTATCATATTCGGCGATGCGTTTTTCCAAACATTGATAAATAAGTAGCGGACACAATGAAAATGAAAAACATGTATAAAATTATACGTTTCCACAAAATTTTGTTTTATTGTAACCGACATTTTCATTAACATTTTAGCCGTACTAGGGGGTGGGCTTTTGGTATATGCTCTTTAGTAGGGAGTTTAATCCTAATAGCAATCGCATTCAAAATCGATGTAGTTAATATGCTTATTAGGTTAATTAAAATTTTCTGCGTAATATGTTTGTTTATCTACTTCAACAATTTAATGAACGCTAAACAGTTTACATCAAAGGATTATATCATTGAATTAAAGTGCTTAACTAGAACCATTTCATTATATTCTACATACATATTCGATATATTTTTTAACTACATACATTTATAATTACAAATTAATACCCAAAATTTATAAAATGTCCAAAGGTTTTTTTTGACAATTTAAACTTAATCAAAATTTTGATGCTCGATATGTAACCGATATTTACTTACAACTTTCTTAGTATAATTTGAATATTGTAATTCGATTAATTTCAATATAGTGCCACCTTATTATTCCCAACATCACACTGCTAAGCATGGATTACGGATAAGATGCACATAAAAAGCACATTTACGTAATTACAAATGTATTTTTATGTTGTGTATGGTTAATTTATTTATTTGCATTTTTTTTATTAAGCAAGATCAAAAACATAAGTTACTTAAGAATGAATTCTTAATTGAAAGTAAAGTACTGACTTATAGGATCTAGGTCTTACGAAAAATATTCCATTGGATTATTGGCAGGGCAGAGTTTCCTGAATGGTGGAAGATAGCCCGAGTATGTCCTGTTCTTTAGTAATCTCGGTGATGTGCTAGATTATAAGCCATCGTGCAATTTTGCTAAAGTATTTGAAAAGGTTGTTGTTCATCGCAATAAGGCGGTTAATTTCAACATCTCAGCAAGGTTTTATTGATTGTAGATCATTAGTGACTAATTTAATGGAGATTACACAATATGTATCTGATTCATTAGATAAAACGACTCAACTGGACGTGGAGTTGATCGTACCATACTCTTAGACCTGTTTAATAAAGGTTTTAATGGGCCTTTGATTCAATTGCTAGGGTCGCTATTTTGGGACAACAAGCACTATGTTTCACATAATGGATACCGCTCAGAGATGTTTTATGCCATGTTTTACTATTTTTGATGTTCTTTAATGATGTTGCAAAGCTGTTTACTTGTCTGGTCTTGCTGTTTACTGGCGACCTAAAAATAGTATCTTCTATTACTGGTGTTGATTACTCCATCAGCCTCCAAGGGCATCTTGATGCTTTCCAGAAATGATTCACTGATAATAAACTAAGTTTAAATATTTATAAATATAAAGTTTTGAGTTTCACGAATTGTTTTATGCAAAATTGTATTTCTAGAAGCTAAATAAAGTCCCAATCCCTAGATGGATTAGTCTCGGTAACCTCGGCGTTGTGTTGGACAGTGCGCTCTCATTTGTCGAACATATTTCCAGCATGATGCACTGCGCTTTGAGAATGTTGGGATTTATTAATAGATGTTGTAGTACTTTCCGAATTTACAAACTTTCACAAGTATGCGTCTAATTTTTCGAAGAAACTTCCACAGGCTACTGTAATACTTTTTACAAAACTTCTGGATTCCTCCTGCGTCGGTTTTTGCTGAGTCGAACTTGCTGACGTTTCGAAAATCATCCTGTTGGCTTCTTCAGAGCTTGAGTGAAACTGGCTCGCAGTTGGGAATCAGTCATCCGGGACGGTGTTTATGCCCTTCATTTAGCTCCGCCCTCCTCAAATAATATATAAGCAGATACAGAATAAAATGCGAGTCAGTTTCAGTCAAGCTCTAGAAGCCAACAGGATGATTGGCGAAACGTCAGCAAAAACCGACGCAGGAGGAATCCAGAAGTTTTGTAAAAAGTAGTATGCGTGTATAGTATGGTATCAAATTTATAAAGTTTACATTGATGCGATAGAGAAGGTACAACATAGGGTTTTAAAGTTTTTGTATCTTAAAATGGGAGGGACAGGGAATTGAAACTGAGTAATTCCTTAGCAAGTTCAATGTTCGACCAGTAGAACAGCGAAGATTCGCATTCAGTAATATTATATTATATCAATCTACTTTACCAACTATTAGTCATACGATTTACAAATTCGAATATTACTTTTTGTTCTATTGTTGCTTCTAGATAATAATTAAATACATGTTATTTGACCTGTAATTATTATTTATTTGTTTATTGATTATAATAAAATATATAATATTTATTAGACAAACCTAGTTATTGATTTTATGAAAAGTTGATTGGCAGTTAATCAGTCATAACGAACGAATGAATGAGTGATTTGTTCTTAAAAAGTGTAACTTTTACTAAAGAAATTGTCTTCACAAAGTGGAGTTTGTTGTAGCTGCAGAGAATAGTCTCATCAAATCCCAAATTTTGATTTATTTAAATTTATTAAAGACTCAACAATAAATAATGATCCAAATTTTGTGATAATTCTTAAAAAAATATAAGCACTAATTATTTTGTACAGGTCAACAGATTGGGGTGATGTCGGATTAACAAGATTGCACTGGAGAAATATTTCATTTATTTTTTTTAAATCATTAATTTAATTTTCCAGAAAAAATGAAAACAATGCATTAAATTCATAATCTTTAAGTTTACTTGAAAAATTGGCTCGATGACAATAGATTCTTTTTCTACATTAGCATTGTCGCCGTTCTTTTAAAATATTTGAAAAAAGGGCACGTCGCAAAGGATAAGTAAGCAAAAATCGCCTGGTAAGCTCGGCGCGTTCATCGCCATCGAAGGATTTTCTCCGGCATTAAGGGATAAACGGAAAACCCGAAGGGGATGATTCTGATTTCGACGTGTGGCGAATCACTTTGATGTTTCGCCACTGTCAAAGAATCTTTTGTTATCTGTTACTTATTATTACGTTCATTTAGGCCTTTGCGTCTTTATGCGCGACAATGAATTACAATTTCCCGCGTTTTTTAATTACAGGGAAACCTTTGATATTAATTATTTGAAGACTTTAATCTAACCCTATCGCGCGCGGTTATTTCCTATTCATTTGTCCCGTCCCTTATTTTTCACACGTTTTCCCGGACGCGTTGACATTTTAAGATTTAATTAATTAAATTTTCCACGCGAGAAATATGCGTAATTCGGTCGTGAATACAAAGCGCTTAATTTGTCGTAGGTGGAGATGTTCGCATGAAATTCATATCACACCCACTTCATAAAGGAAAAATAAAAAGGTCCTTTCGCTTTACGATTAAATTAAATTTGATATAAAACCGCCCCCCGCGGCTTCGCGTACACATTCCGATTCATATGATATTGCCAATAAAGAAATTAAAACTAACCAACCAACGCATAGACAGACGCATCACATTCTAAATGCGTCTGTCATGTACTAAAAATTTCAAGTTCAAACTTGTCTACTTAGGCTGCAACAAGGGTGCCTTTTACTTTACCATAAAAGTTTAACGCATCAAATTATCCATTTATATGTTGCTGGTCGTTTTTGCTCTTCCCAGAGAAGTGATTTATTTCTCAAATAAATAAACATTTTTGTTGATACAGTGATGTTAATTTTCAGTAAGAAATTTGACAGCATTTGCAGTGGGAGCAATTTTACGTTTTTGACGAACCAATTAAGCAGGAATTGAGTACTGCTGGTTAAACCTTTGACATGCGGTAAAATGAACTGTTTCTTTGAATTTTGCAAAACGCACTAAATGTTACACAATGCAAAAACGAGCTGAAAGGAGTTAATCACTGTTCAAATTCCAGTGTAAGAAATTTATTTAAATACGTCAGTGGTATGGTGCATAAAAATATATATATTATACCGTGATAAAAAAATTACATTTAACTTAACACTATTATAAAGATTACGGAAAGGGGTAGCCTCATGAAATGATGGAGGGAGATGGAGCACTTATATCCAATACTTAGAGTGTTAATATCTATACTGTAGCCGTTGTTTTTACTAATATTCAGAAAATCCCATTGTGAGCGGATGGTCGTGCTTGATGACAAATAGATTGAACCTCATATTAGTTTAATTTGTCATAGGCTCCAGTTTCTGCATTATAATCAATAAATTGTCGGGTATCAACTTTAAATTTGTCATTGGTCATTGCTATTACGGGGCAAATCAGCCTCTTGCGACATGTTAGTTTCAAAATACATCGTGAGAAGCGATGCGTCTCACGAGTCGAAGTTCCCGGTAATACAACAATGAAATCACAAATAAGAATTTAGCGAAACAGTTCGTCTAACAACTCAAGGGAAAAAATGTGATTTCGCAGTCAGCAACAAATACCACACGTGCGTTTTTCGTCTAAGGCAATTGCAATTACGACGTGAATCGTGACTCCAATATACGGTAAATTAATGTTCAAATCGTTTTACAATTTTTTTACATCGTAGAAATAACACTAAAGGTAGCTCAAAAACAATATGTAAATCTCCTGTCTAAGTTTTTTGAATACACATACAAAAAGAAACTGATTTGTGCTTGTATTGAACAATCGAATAAATAATACTGTTAATCGAACCTATCCATTTTACATTGTGTTTTACATTTTCGCAATATGCTGGTAGCCGTAGAAATGTATCATCCCTTGGGACTAATTTTCTTTTGTTATTGTGCAATTATTAATCCAATTTTATAGTTATTTTTAAGTTGCCATATTACATAGACCACTACTTTTAAATACCCAAGTAAACACTCATGCGGCATGCACAAAGTGTAAAATTAAAATATTTGCTTAATTAAACAC